TGTTATTGCAATATAATCGCCTTGTATTTATATGATTTTGAACATTTTAAGCAGGTTTTTAATAAATTTAGAGATTTTTAGAGACATTTTATGCGTTTACTAATATTATAATATTCAATATTCCAAATATTAGATATTTTTGAACTTTATGCTTATTATTTGCATTTAATTGTTTAAATTATAATTTCTATGACATTTTTAAATGTCTGTATTATGAATTTAATTATTATTTATTAATGCCGTGCCGTTAATAAAATGCCGTGTAGTGGCGGTTAAGAATATCCACTACCCCATATCTTCCCGTGGGTGTCGTAAAAGGTGACAAAGGGAAACAGGCAGGAGATGGGCAGCAGCATCTTCCTGATAATAGCCAAAATAACAATAAAAAAAAAAACTGCGGTTGCCAACCCGCTCGCCAAGCGTGGCAACTATGGCAATATACCCCCCATGAGCAATGACAATAATAAACGGCCCCCAGTCCCCGGCGGCCCCGCTATTCCTGGCTACGGTGGCGACCATGGTAACGGCGGGGCAGGGGGTGCTAAGAATCTCCGGTGGAGGTTCGGTTGCCACCTACGACGACTCGACCTGGCAACATACAACGCACGCACCCTGAGGACTGACGAGAAGATTGTGGAGCTGGAAGAAGAGATAGACAAGTTACGCTGGCATATTATAGGATTATCCGAAGTCCGAAGAGAGGGGGAGGACACGGTAATCCTCGAATCCGGCAACTTGCTCTATTACCGGGAGGGCGACCATCTGTCCCAAGGAGGTGTCGGATATATCGTCCACAAGTCTCTCGTTAACAACGTTGTAAAGATTGAGAGTGTGTCGACGAGGGTTGCGTACCTTATACTCAGAATCACCAAACGGTATTCGCTGAAGGTCATACAGGTTTACGCACCAACCTCGGCACACCCCGATCAGGAGGTGGAGGAAATGTGTGAGGATATCTCTAGAGCCATGCATTCCTCCAAAACCCAATATACGGTGATAATGGGAGACTTCAATGCAAAACTAGGCACAAGAGAGCACGGTGAGCTGAAAGTAGGGAAATTTGGAATAAGGCAACGGAACCCAAGGGGCCAGCAGTTGGCTGACTTCATGGAGAAAGAGGGACTCTTTATGATGAACTCTTTCTTCCAGATGCGACCCCACAGGAAGTGGACCTGGTCGAGCCCCGACGGTTCGACAAAAAATGAGATTGACTTCATTATGACGACCAGACGACAACTGTTCAGTGATGTCTCAGTGATTGCGAGGGTGAAAACCGGCAGAGATCACCGAATAGTTAGAGGCACACTGAACCTAAACGTTAAGTTGGAGAGGTCTCGTCTAATGAAGTCAACGCTCCGTCCCCCTCGTGCTCTAATCCAAAGTCCCGAAACCTTTCAGCTCGAGTTACAAAACCGTTTTCAGTGCCTAGAAGACTGCAATGAAGTGGACGATTTGAATGACAAGCTCGTGGAAACTGTCCATGCGGTCGGAGCTAAGTTCTGCAAGACTTGCCGCAGAAGAACACAAAAACTCTCCGATCACACTCTTAATCTCATGGCTGTTAGACGGGAGATGAAGCTACATTCTTCAACAGACTTGATAGCATACAGGCATCTGAACAGACAGATCTCCAAATGCATGCGGCGGGACTTACGCAACTTCAATACAGCTCGTATTGAAGAAGCGATCGAGCGGAACCAAGGCTCCAAAGTCTTTGCCAGAGATCTGTCTGCCAGAAAGCGCCAACTGTCAAAGCTGAAGACAGAATGTGGCAGCATCGTTTCCAGGGCACCTGAGATTTTGAGTGAGATTGAGAGGTTCTATGGGCAGCTGTACACGTCATCGTTGGAGCCGCACGCAAGTGTGAGTAACGATCCAAGAGCGAGTCTTATCCGACATTATTCCGATGATATCCCGGACGCCAGTCTGAGCGAGATTAGAATGGCTCTCCAGCACCTTAAAAACGGCAAGGCTCCAGGCGAGGATGGAATTACAGCGGAGCTTCTGAAAGCGGGTGGAAAACCGGTACTTGAAGTCCTTCAGAAGCTCTTTAATTCCGTCCTCCATGGTGGCATTACACCGGAGGCGTGGAGCAGAAGTGCGGTGGTCTTGTTCTTCAAGAAAGGCGACAACGCTCTCTTGAAGAATTACAGACCGATTTCCCTTCTGAGCCGCGTCTACGTGCTGTTTTCGAGAGTCATTACGAATCGTCTCGCGCGCAGACTTGACGACTTCCAGCCTCCCGAACAAGCCGGTTTCCGAAAAGGCTTTAGCACCATAGACCACATACATACCCTTCGGCAAATTGTACAGAAGTCCGAGGAGTACAATTTGCCACTATGTCTGGCGTATGTGGACTATGAGAAAGCCTTTGATTCCGTCGAAATTTGGGCGGTGCTGCAGTCCCTTCAGCGATGCCAAGTTGACTGTCGGTATATCGAAGTGTTGAAGTTCTTGTACAGTAGGGCTACGATGGCTCTCCGAGGACAGAACCGGAGTACGAAACCTATCCAATTGCAGAGAGGTGTAAGACAGGGTGACGTCATATCCCCGAAACTCTTTACCGCTGCATTGGAAGATGTTTTCAAGCTTCTGGACTGGAAAGGATACGGTATCAACATCAATGGCGAGTACATCACTCACCTTCGATTTGCCGACGATATAGTCCTTATGGCAGAATCACTGGAGGACCTAAGCACTATGCTCAATGACCTTAATAGTGTTTCCCAACGGATAGGTCTTAAGATGAACATGGACAAAACAAAGATCATGTTTAATGTCCATGTCACACCTATGCCGGTAGTTGTTGGGAACACTAAGCTCGAAGTTGTTGACGAGTATGTTTACCTGGGACAAATAGTCAGACTAGGTAAGACCAACTTCGACCGAGAGGTCAATCGACGGATTCAACACGGTTGGGCAGCGTTCGGGAAATTACGGCACATCTTCTCGTCATGTATACCTCAAAACTTGAAAACGAGACTGTACACCCAGTGCGTGTTGCCAGTGATGACATACGGAACTGAGACGTGGTCCTTCACTGCTGGCCGGATGAGGAAGCTCAAGGTCGCTCAGCGAGCTATGGAGAGGGCTATGCTCGGAGTTTCTCTGCGTGATAAACTCAGAAATGAGGATATCCGCAGTAGAACTAGAGTGACCGACATAGCCCAACGGATTAGTAAGCTGAAGTGGCAATGGGCCGGCCATATAGCTCGAAGAACCGACAACCGATGGGGAAGAAAGGTTTTCGAGTGGCAGCCTCGTACCGGCAGGCGAAGTGTAGGGCGTCCCCCCACTAGATGGAGTGACGACCAGGTAAGATATGCAGGAAGTCGATGGATGCAGGTGGCTCAGGACCGTGCTTTGTGGCATTCTTTGGGGGAGGCCTATGTTCAGCAGTGGACTTGTGAAGGGCTGTAATGATGATGAATGATGATGAATAATAATTATGAGGCGTCACACTAGGTTGGTGCGTAAACCCGTATAATCTTCAATGAATACCGTTTGATGATTCTGAGTATTAGTTACGCAACCCTCGTCGCTACACTTACTACGTTGTTGACGAGAGACTTGTGGATGATAAATCCGACATTAGTCCCAGGGAGGTGTCGGATTTATCATCCACAAGTCGCCCTCCCTGTGATAGAACAAGTTGCCGGATTCGAAGATTACCGTGTCCTACCCCTCTCTTCGGGCCTCAGATAATCCTGTAATATCCCAGCGCAACTTGTCTATGTCTTCCTCCAGCTCTAGGATCTTTTCGTCAGTTTTCGACCTGGCAACATACAACGTATGCAACGTTGTATGTTGCCAGGTCGAGTCGTCTTAGGTGGTAACCGAACCTCCACTGGAGATTCTTAGCATCCCCTGTCCTGCCCTTGCCACCGTAGCCAGGAAAAGTGGGGCCGCCGGGGACTGGGGGCCGTTTATTTGTAACTCTCGTCATAGGGATATATTAGCAATAGGCATAGTTGCCTTGCTTGGTGTGGCGTAGCCACATATTATATGTCAAAAATTAAAAATATAGTTTTGAACTGTCAACTGCCCTGGGGGCCTACTACGAAGTGTTTATAAAACTTGGCAAGTTCCGAGCAGTTCAGTTTCTGACCTTAAACTGAAATGCTTTATTTGGTACTACGAACTACGCTTAGCTCAACTGTTTTAAACCCATATAATGACTAGCGACGGCTTTGCTCACGGGTTAGCGTTGTCTCTGTCTTGTTTTGGCTAACCGTTCGAGTGAGAGGACGCTATACAAATGTTACATAAGTTTATCTCTTTAATTTTAAGGTCGGTCTTAAAGTGAAACCCATATTCTTGTAATTCTTTAATACTAAATAAATTAACAATATATTAAATTATTACCACTTGAAATGGGGTAGGTAGTACTCGTAGAAACAAAAAACCTTTTTTTATTGTTTCTTCGAGTTTTGTTTATAAATTTACAATGACGACGAGAAACTAAAGCCAATGTGTTTTCAATTTAAGATGTGATTGATGGTGTAAAATCACTTAAGTCGAGGCGAAATTTAGTTTGTATGCTCTTTTTGAGAATTTCTTATAATATGAGCTGTGTTTGTGTGTCAAGTGGGTAATAAATTAGTTTAGTTACCATGTCCATTTTAAATGTAAACACCCTTCGTAATGTAATATTTTAATGGGATAGTGTGGTTTGGTTAAGAGTTAAGGCGAAATGTGATTTCATTACTAAACATTTGTGGTAATACTAAATTTACAAAGAAACAACTGTTTAATCATACACCACAAATCAGGCTATAATAAATTAAACTTTCCCTTAGAAATGTTTCGAGTATTTACATTGTAGTGATTACAATTATAAAAGTTTATTCATTTATTTCTGAGTAAAATATATCACAAATCATATCTGAGTAAAATATTTACATTGTTAATAATCTTAAATAAAAAAAACAACACAATAACTATATAAATCTAATTAAAAATGAAAACAAAAGAACAATAGTTTTAAAAACAAATAAATTTCAGGTTGCACTCCGACTTCTCCAGAGGCGATCGATAAGGTTATTTCTAACCGTAATCCCCTCTCGAAGCTCTGGATTTTGTGCGGCCCTAGAATTTACTGCAGAATCCTGGCGAGGAGTAGTCAACTGTTGCAATTCATATTCCCGCAAAGCTTCCTCTGGCTGCAGCTCTTCTACACTGACATTAGCCTTATTGCATATGTTGTGCAATATCACACATGCATTTACAATAGAAGCTGCCATGTGAGGCTCATAATGTAACACTCTGTGCACTAGTAGACATCTGAAACGTGCTTTCATTAGTCCAATTGTGCGCTCAATTACATTACGTGCTCTCACATGCATGTCAGTGTAGTATCCTTCGGGGGTGTTTGGGGGAGCATCAACAATGGGTGTCATTAAGTATCTTCTTAAGGGATACCCAGAGTCACCTGTAAAAAAGTACTAAATGATAAAAGTTTGGCCAAATTATAACCCACTTTTTTGTATATATATCTTTTTATTATGTAAAGTCCCTACCAAGAAGCCATATTGCCTCACTTGTGCTGAGGTCTTCCATGTGTGTCTTCAAAGGGTGATTAGACCATATAAAAGCATCATGAGAAGCTCCTCCATAGCTTGCATCCACACTGATAATATCCATATCTGCATTGCATATCTAAAATATTGGTTTTAAATTATTTTTAACAACACATAATAATTCAAACGGTTTAAGTAAATATTTTATTTATCAATAAAATATTTTGATTAAATTTGTGGTTTTATTACAATACTTCTTACCAATTGCACATTTAAAGAATGATATTGTTTTCTGCAGTAATATCTCTCTTCATTTTGTGAAGGACGGACCATTGCCACATGTGTACAGTCAATGCAGCCTAAAACTCCAGGCATCCCAAATTTGTTGTAAAATCTGCAAAGACATTTAATCACTTATATATAAGTCTCTGCTAACCTTTTTGCGTGATATAGTGGTAAATATTGCATTGCCCATGTTACTAATGCAACTAACAAATATTAGTACTAATGAGCATATTATTCAAGCTCAATGGTTCATAGAGTGGTTGTTATTATAATCAGTTAAAATTAAATATTAAATTGGTTACCTACCTTAAAATGTTAGCCCTACGCTGTGCTGCATCTCTCGGGAATCTTATATATTTTGACCTCAATTGAGGCATGTTTAGGCCCTGCGTTACTTGACCTAAAACAGCTGATACTGTCTGTTGTGGCACGGAGTGAGCAGCTATGTCCCCAATTGGTCGCTGATACGATCCCGTGGCATAAAAAGACAGTGCAATTAAGATCTAAAATAATTATAAGAAATGATGAGTATGAATTTTTTCTAAAACTACATTAAATATCACTTAGTAATTTTTTACTAGTGATGAATAATTTAACTAATACTCAACCTTGGTTTCGATCGACAAATCAGTAAACTTAGCAGGCTTTGTCATAAAAGGTCTTAAATCATCACAAAGTTCCAACACTAAGTTTTTGCTTAAGCGATATCTTTTTATGAATTCATCGTCATCAATCGAAAACGAGTCCATTTGGCTGCGTAATATTGCCCTTTCAATTTTGTCTTCCACAATTTTGCTTTTGTTGTCCTCTTCGAGGAACTCAAAAATTTCGTATTCATCAGACACTAAAATTAATGCACAAATATTAGAGAACTTTAAGACGTACATGTAAATAATATATCACTTTTAAAGCAAAAAACCTAATTTAGCATGTATGAGTTCATGAAATACTTACTATTATAATATTAAAATATTAAACGATTCAGAAAAAGCTCCCACCAAGCACCTTTTATTGAAGTGTTTAATCTGACAGCTATACTGTTCAATAAACGGGTCACAACTCTGTTACAAACGTCAAAAGTGAGTTCATAGTACCGATTTAAAACGTTGAGCTAGCTTGCCGGCCACTGAATCACTGAAATGTTTCGTTACGTCATCACAGGCTGGCCTGCAATAAGACGCGTTCGTAGTACGAAAAAGCAAGGCAGTTCAGTTTACGGTCTTAAACTGACCGGCAATAAGACTTTGTAGTAGGCCCCCTGTGCGTGATTCATGTTGTTTTTCCTTATATTAAATATAGTTGCTAAATTAGTATTAAAATCTTAATTATTATAAAAATTTCATTAGCCTTCCGTTTGTATATATTGTGTGTTGTTATAAACTATAGTGTGGTAGTAAATGTACTGTTATTGTTAACTGTGGAGCCGATTTATAAAGTAAACTAATAGTTCTCGGTCGTATGGAGAATATTTTCTTTGTGAAGGACTCAATTTGCGAGAAAAGAAGGACAGAGGCTGCCATTCACCATCTTTAAATTGCTGCAGAACCCCTCCAATTGCTATGTCTGAAGCGTCTGTCACTACTCTCAGTTTTGAATTTAAGTCAGGGTATGCTAAGAGTGTTGCATTGCATAGGTCTTCTTTGCATTTTTCAAACGCTATTAGTGCGTCACCTGTAATATTTACTGGATGTGAACCCTTTACCGCCCCGGTTAGGAGTGAATTTAATGGAGCTTGAGTTTCTGCTGCTCCTGGGACAAATCTGAAATTTAACATTCCCAGGAATCTTCTCAATTCTTTCACGTTCTTTGGCACTGGAAAATCTTTGATAGCTTGTACTTTTGAGGTCAAGGATTTGACGCCTTCGGGTGAAACGGTGTAGCCTAAGAAGGTTACAGTGGAGGCTCCGAATACACATTTGGACGTGTTTATTACCATTCCATAGTCTTGCAATTTTGTGAAAACTTGATGGAGGTGTTTAAGGCGAGGCATTACAGCCGCGGGTGGGCCTTAGCCTGGTCCAGCAAAGCTCTCCAGTCCGATCTGTTAGAGGCTTTCCTTCTCCAACTTGTTATTCCCAAGATCTTGATATCTTGTTCTACGCCGTCCAACCATCTGAGCTTGGGCCTGCCTCGACTTCTGCGGCCCTCCGGTCGGCCTTCTAAAAAGCGTTTGGGTACTCTGGCCTCGTCCATTCGCAACACGTGCCCTGCCCAACGCAGGCGTCCGATCTTTATGGTCTTAATTACGTTTGGCTCATCATACATTTGGTATAGCTCGTGGTTATAACGCGTTCGCCATCTCTCATTTTCCATCACAGCTCCGAAAATGCGTCTTAGTATTTTCCGCTCAAATACTAACAAGGAGTTTTCGTCTTTTTTGCTCAGCACCCAACATTCGGAACCGTAGGTGAGTATAGGTCTTAGTAAGGTTTTGTACAAGAGAATGCTTCTGCTTATGCTTCTTGAAAGAAGTTTCGAACGTAAGTATCTTAGTAGTCCGAAGTAGCACTTGTTAGCCGCCATTATTCTCCTACTTATTTCTGAAGACACATCGTTGTTATCGGTTACTAAGGATCCCAGGTATACGAAATCATTGACCCTAGCGAAGGTGTTGTTGCCAATATTAACTCCTTGTAGTAGAATTTGCTGGTCTTTTGACGCTTTCAGGTACTTAGTCTTAGCCATGTTAACTTGGAGACCAGCCTCCGCAGCTGATTTTTCAAGAGCAAGGTATGCACTCTCCATTGCAGGTAGAGATCTTCCTATCACGTCGAGGTCATCCGCATATCCTAGGATTTGAACAGATTTGTGATAGATAGTGCCTTTGGTCTCGATCTTTGAGTCGCGAATACACTTGTCGAGAGCGATGTTGAACAGTAGGCACGAGAGCGCATCCCCTTGTCTTAAGCCGTCATTGGTTCTGAAGGGCTCTGATACATTTGTTTGAACTCTAACAACGCTCTGAGAGTTTCTAAGAGTCATCTCCGTCAGGCGCACGAGCTTTGTTGGGATGCCAATCTCCATCATAGCCTGGTACAGGAAACTTCTGTGCACATTGTCATAGGCAGCCTTAAAGTCTACGAAAAGGTGGTGAGTATTCACGTTGTACTCAAACGTTTTTTCAAGGATCTGCCTAAGCGAGAAGATTTGGTCTACTGTGGACCTGTTTGGACGGAACCCACACTGATACTCTCCCAAGCTGGATTCTACATATGGCTTTAGTTTATTAAAAAGCATATTGGCAAAAACTTTATAACCGGTGTTCAAGAGAGATATGCCTCGGTAATTATTGCAATCCAATATGTCGCCTTTCTTATGTAGGGGACAGATAACAGATGTATTCCAATCATCAGGCATTTTTTCATTGTTCCAAATTTGGAGCACCAGGTGGTGAAACTCTTTCTCGAAACCAGTTCCGGCATACTTTATAAGTTCGCCTTGGATATCGTCCATTCCCGGAGATTTGTTATTTTTAATGGATTGAATGGCTCGTTTAATATCTTCTATAGTGGGGTACAAAGATTCATCAGTCTCTTGATTCTTTAGTAGAGCTTCAGGTACTGGTACAGAAAGTGGACGAGTCTGCACTGAACTGTTAAGGAGTTCACGAAAGTATTCAGCCCATCTTTGAACGATCTCATCCTAATCATTAAGTAGCTGTCCATTCTTACTTCTACACGCCGTGGTTCTGGGTTTGAATTCTTTCCGTCCCCCATTTATTTGGTTGTAGAAGTTTCTAGTTTCCTTTTGTGTGTAACTAGATGCAATCTCACGCAGTTGTTGTTCTTCGTACGATCTTTTCTTTCTCTTATGTAGGTGTTTTTCTCGTCTTCTTCGCTTCTTATACTCTTCTCCACGCCCGCGAGTGTACTTCTGTTGCATTAATCTATATGCATCATTTTTCTCATTAGTGATCTTTTGACATTCATCATCAAACCAGTCGTTACGCTTCGGTTTTTCCTCAAATCCCAAAATCTCACTAGCAGCCGTAGATAAAACCCCTTTAAGATTCCGCCAGGTGCTATCAGGATCGCCAATGCTGTTGCTATTTCTTTCGCTCACTTTCATAAGTTCTCTGTGAACTGTGTCCATATATTTGTATTTGACATCCTGCTCTCTCGTCAGCCTTGTTGTTTCAATCTTTTTTGTTCTTACCGTTTTGGTGTACTTGTACCGTGATATTCGTGCTCTTATTTTGCATACAACAAGATGGTGATCGGAGTCGATGTTTGCTCCTCTACGGCTTCTGACATCCAGAAGATTAGAGCAGTGTCTCCCGTCTATCAAAATATGGTCTATTTGGTTTCGGGTGACGTTATCCGCGGAGACCCACGTTATCTTATGGATATTCTTGTGTGGAAAGCGTGTGCTGCCGATGACCATTCCTAGGGAAGTTGCCAAATCAATGAGACGTGTGCCATTGTCGTTAGATGTTTCGTGTAGGCTGTGGAAGCCTATCGTTGGTCGGTATATACTTTCTCTTCCTACCTTTGCATTCATATCCCCAATTATAATTTTGATGTCACCTTTGGGAGATTTGGAATACACGCTTTCCACATCGGAATACCATCTTTCCTTCTCTTCGAGGTCAGTATCTTCCGTCGGAGCGTGTACATTGATGATTGTGTAATTTTGAAATTTACCTTTAAATCTGATTTTACACATACGTTCATTAATTGGTTGGAAATCAATTACAAGATGTTTTAGGCGTTTGCTCACGACGAAACCTGTTCCAAAGGTATGATGCTTTTCATTACAACTATAATATATGGCGAAATCTGGTTTATCAATAACGCCATGTCCCATCCATCTAAGTTCCTGGACCGCTGTTATATCAGCTCTGTGATTTGCAAGTTGTTGACATAAAAGTTGAAGGCCCGCTGGTCTGTACAGTGTTCTTAAGTTCCATGTACATAAGGTAAATTCGTTAGCCATTATTGAGTAGCCAGGTCGTTGGTTTAAAATCCGGTCCATAAGGTTTGCTTTTCCTTTCACAATCGTTTGTATTCAGACGAGTGGGTGATTAACCCCCTGCATCCTAGGCCTTTAGTGGGGCTGCCACTTTTGAGCTCAAGACCTAGCTCCGTTTATTTTCAGGTATCGTCCCTTCCGAGTTGAAACCAGTTTTAAGGCGCCGGTTGCTCGCCTTCGCCCTTTGTCCTTAGCATCTGCGCTCTGAGAAAGGGATGGTGATCGTACTTAGAGTACGGGCGCAGAAGGTCCAAGGGGGTACGACGGGGACGTGGACAGATCGGACTGGTTGGTACCTGCATACTTGTGCTCCACCATCAGAGCACTGCAGTCAGAAGACGGGCTTTTTATAGAAGTCACTAAGCTCGGGTCTTAGCGACCCCACCCATACCCAATACCAACTTCACCCCCCTATGAAAATATAAAATATTTTCGGCACATGCTCGAAGCGAAACACTTCACCATATTTACTGATCATAAGCCAATATGCTACGCATTTCAACGTCGAAAAGAAAAATGTTCACCACGGCAATTTCGCTATTTAGATTACATATCCCAATTTACAACGGACATACAACATATTTCTGGGAAAGAAAATGTCGTAGCTGACAATCTTTCACGAATAGAGGAATTATCTAAGCCCGTCGAATTAAGCACACTCGCAAAAGCGCAGTCAGAAGATCCTGAGTTAAAAAAAATTATAAATGGTGAAACATCACTTCAACTAATTAAGGTTAAAATACCAGGTACGCTAGAAGAATTATACTGCGACAATAAAACGCAAATAACTCGTCCTTATGTGCCCCAGAAACTTCGACGGCAAATTTATGCAACAATACATTCACTGAGTCACCCAGGCGCTAATGCTACAGCAAAATTAGCAGCACAGCGTTACGTTTGGCCCGGTATGAACAAAGACTGCCGAGCATGGGCTAAAGCATGCCACGCCTGCCAGACCTCAGAAATTACCCGACACGTGTCATCGCCGTTACACACATTCGAATTGCCACGTACCCGGTTCCAATACATTCACATATACATAATTGGACCTCTTCCACCATCAGAAGGTTTTCGGTACTGTCTGACAGCGGTAGATAGATTCACACGGTGGCCAGAAGCAATCCTATTAATAGATATTACTGCGGAATCCGTTGCAAAGGCCCTGCTACTAGGTTGGATTTCGCGATTTGGATGTCCTGTGGAAATAATAACTGATCGGGGAAGGCAGTTTGAATCATCGCTGTTCAAATATCTTTCAGATTCAATAGGTTTCCAACACAAGAAAACAACTGCTTATCACCCTGCATGTAACGGAATGGTGAAAAGAATGCACAGGCAGTTAAAATCACCCATAACTTGTCACGGTAACCAACACTGGACTGAAAGTTTGCCACTAGTATTATTAGGTATGAGAAGTGCTTTAAAGGAAGATCTACAAGCATCGCCGGCTGACTTAGTTTATGGTGAACCGTTAAGACTACCGGGAGAATTCTTCTATCCTTCCTTGACAACAACCACTGATGTGACGGATTTCACTGCACGCCTACGTGCTAACATGGAAAATATACGTCCATTGCCAGCGTCACGGCACAGTAAATACAAGACCTTTGTTTTCAAAGACTTGCCAACAGCTACGCACGTGTATCTGAAAGATGAAACAAAATCGCGAGCATTTCAGCCATCTTATATAGGGCCATACAAAGTCACACAAAGAAATGATAAAGTTTATAAACTTCTAATTAGAGGCAATGAAGTCACAGTTTCCATAAATCGGCTAAAACCAGCCTACACAATTCAGGAAAACACTGAACTCCAAGGTCCTGTCATAATGCAGCCGCCCGAAAGTAAAGAAGACATAAAGATTAAAAAAACACGTTCGGGACGAAGTGTGAGATTCCCAGATTACTATCGCCCGTCATGAGACGGTCTCTGGGGGGGGGGGGGGGGGGGGATGTGGCGTAGCCACATATTATATGTCAAAAATTAAAAATATAGTTTTGAACTGTCAACTGCCCTGTGCGTGATTCATGTTGTTTTTCCTTATATTAAATATAGTTGCTAAATTAGTATTAAAATCTTAATTATTATAAAAATTTCATTAGCCTTCCGTTTGTATATATTGTGTGTTGTTATAAACTATAGTGTGGTAGTAAATGTACTGTTATTGTGAACTGTGGAGCCGATTTATAAAGGGAATAAAAATTATAACAGTGAACAGTGAGTTATTTCTTATCACCAATTTCACTACACTTGGTGAGCAGGTTGGCAACTGCAGTTTTTTTTGTAATTTGCTGTTATCACAAAGATGCTGCTGTTCATCTTCTATCTCAGTTTCCCGCTGTCGCCTCTTACGATATCCACAGGAAGATATGGGGTAGTCGGTATTTTTACCTGCACATGGATCAAGGCTCTCAGGCAACGTTTATTACGGAATTTTCTGTACAGCTATTTAGTTTGAAGAAGACTCAATATGGAGAAAATATTGCAGGTATAGCAGACAACGCTATTAAATCACAACATGTACCCAATTAATTTTGATATTCACTTAATATTAGACTCTCAGTATGTATTGCATGTTAAAGCTCATGTTTTTTTTATAGGATAGGGTGATAAACGAGCACACAGTCCACCTGATGGTAAGTGGTTGCTGTGGCCTATATACATCTACATCTATCTTTGATTACGAATCAAAATGCAGATGCGTTGTCACCCGTGAGGGCTAAGATGGAATGCCTCGTTTCCAGTAAAAAGGGTCTCCGGTTCTCTACACTCCCCATACGAAACACAGCAGCGTTAAGCTGCTATTTTACGCTGGTATTCTGTGAAAGCGTGGGCCTTCCCCGGTCGAGCCGACCCATTTGTGCTACTACTATAATATAGCTGCAGCATGGCTCTACCACGTATAAAAATGTACTACCGAAATTGATACCATTATTGCCTTTACATGAATTAAGTATTTTACAATGGCCTGGTATTATGAAATTCAAGTTAGCAGACCCACGATTACACAAGCCATGGCCTATCACTATTGTTTATGGAGTACAAGTATATGCTTCAATTATACTAGAAAGTTTACATAAATATAGGTCTCCCATTACACAAAACTCACGATTGGGATGGTTAGTTTCAGGCATTACCCAGATTACTACACAAATTGATTGACTTGCACACACAATGGTAGTTACAACAAATTTAGTAGAGGTTGATCAATTATTACGCAAGTTTTAGGAGATGGAAGAATGCAAAGCACCTGAGAAACGTTTATCTCAACTTGATTAATATATGAAGAACACAATGTTAAAACATATACAAGAAATAATGACAAACGCTGTGTATTGCGATTACCAAAGATTTATTAGAAAAGATTCAGACAAAAACCCAATTTT